GCCATCTGATCCTGGAAACGGATGCACAGGATGTGGTGCAGGGCATCAAGACTGACAATTTTCTAGACTGTGCTGTTGGTCACCTCCTAGCCGAAATCAAGTCTCTCGTGAGACTGAATTTACTCACTTTTGAGTGTGTGTTCAGAGGTAGAGCCGGCAATGGTGTTGCTCGTGAGTTGGCTAGACTAGGATCTCTTTGCAATGAGGGGGAAGAGTTTATTTCCAGTGTGCTCCCTGATGGGATTGATGTAATGGTGGCTAACGATTTGTTAGCAGTTGAGTAATAAGAAATCACTCGGTTTCAAAAAAAAAAGAAGATGATCGCTTGGAAAAACTTGGACAATAAGGTCCTGTGGCTGGTAAGCCGTAACCTCAATAATGTTGGTCCGCATCTTGTTGGTCTACCCTCGGGGGCGGAGCCCAGTGGAGGCGAAACTGAGCTCCCGCCCCGCCTTGGCCCAAGTAAATTTTCCAAGGCCTATTAGTATTTCCCTTGGCCCAATTGAATTTCCCAGGGTGTGCTGCCTCCTCCACAAGCCAACCAAGCCCACTTAGGCACTCACGTACGCAGGACATAAAGCTGAGGGACGGCCTTCTTCTAAAAATGTTACAGAGGCAGGGAGTCGCGTCACGTGACTCGCACGCATCGCATCTTCCACTCTTCGCCTCCGGCCGTTCGGCAGGCCGGCCATCCGCCGCACTGCATCATGCCGTGCTCTGCATCCCGACGACAGTTCACTTGTTCTTGTTTCTAAATTTCGCGCCCCCCCCCCTATAATTTGGGTTCACCCTCCACCGCTGTCTACCCTGGCATACTCACTCAAACCCTCTTGGTGTTCACGTGCTTATTATTTGTGTTGTGTGCATGCTTGTTTCTTTTTTCCCTGTATGGACTAATGAGAGGAATGCATTTGTGTTATGTGTATGCTTATTTCTTTTTCCTTGTATCGATTAATGAGAGGAATGTGGGCCCTGTATGGATGAAGCTTGAAAAATTGCACATGCATGACCCTTGACAGCCATATGCATCCAACTGTTTGAATTGGGTGTCAAGAATAGAATGGAATGGGCATCAAATCAAAATAAAAGACACTTAAAATGGAATCGGGGTCGCCACTTTGTCGAGATCTCGTGGCTGCCGGGATCCTCGTAAGCTAATGGCACCGACACGCATGGATTCGTGGGATGCTAGAGGGCCACGACGCAGTAGTCAGGCCAAGGAGTGGCAAGGCACACACGTTGATCCACAAGGATAGTGGCGGCGGGGAGAAGAGAGAGAAATGATAGAGTGGAATTGGGGAGAAGAGAGCAAAATGATAGAGTGGAATTAGGAAGGGTTAGGGTTTGCCCTGGGTGTAGAGGGGGCTCCTCGGAACAAAACTGCACAATTTCAAAATTTCTCTTTTTCGTGTTAGAATAAAATTTACATTAGGGGGTGTCTAAAAACAACCAAACATGGATACTGTTCATGTCAGACAGACTGAGCCACGGGTTAATTTCTAAAAAAAACTATAGTGTTTTTGTGTAAAATGGACAACAGGATGTGCCAACCCTATAGAGTAGCCATGCATCCCCGAATTCTTGTGCGAGCAGTTAGTTTTTAAGTAACCCGATCCATCTTTTCGTTGACGCACTGGCCCGTGCCGCCATGCGTACCCTTGCAGCAGCCAGCGCCTACTTGGGACCGGGGTTGCCACTGCACTACAGTCCAAGACCCAGCAACCCTGGCTTTGTACGAGAGCGTCAACCCGCTCACCCCGCCCAAAGCACCATTGCCTCCATTGAGGACCTCTCCACATAAACCCAACAAGCAGCCCGGGTGGTGGACAAACAACAGCTTCCTCTGCGTCGAGTAGTGTACATTCCACGACGGCTTCCTTTGCGTCGAGTAGTGTACATTCCACTGACCTCTGTCACTTTATGGTTCAGTCTCTGCCCACGCTCGCAATTACCCTCTCTTGATGACTAAGACATGGATCGGCCGGGAGATGGACAAGTGGAAGTCCAAAATGCTGCACTATCTGAACAGGTCGGTCACTAACCACCTTCTCACTTATTTGTTACTCCATTATTGTACTCCATTCATTTGTTGCATTTTGGACACCACAGTATTCGTTTAATATTATACCAAATAAAGTTAGAAACAAAATAACAACAGTAAAACATTTAAGGGTATTCTCTAATGTGGTTCAAGGCTATTATACTATTTACAAAGCTAAGTCCATTGATGTACCATGATTGGGGAGCATTAGAAACAATCATATCGAAGACCTGATGCTAGCTGAAGATTCTAATGGCAAAAAGCTAATTATCACCAAGGAACCGGTAGTCAAAGACAATGCTACTGTCGCTGAAAGATTAGATTATTTATGGGCAATATGGCATGCAGTCCAATCATTCTATCTAGTCGAAGACCGATTGCCCTTGTATTTTTGAGCGGTTACAAAAAGATCCGCTGAATACCACACATTTAGAACACAGGTTCGTGGAGTACCTTCGGTAACACCGAGTGCTTTATGTATCTAATCCCTACAAAAAACTTATTGGTGGGATTCATCTTGTTGCTTGCAAATCAAAGATCTCATTCACATATTCATTGTATGTTCTTTTCACTCTTCCCCTTTTAAAAATGATTGGCATAAAGATATTAAAAGTGGAGTTTACATTCTATTTCCTATTACAAGTAGAAGGAAAGGGAGAGTACGGAGAAGAAAGAGAAGAAAAAATATTGTCTAGGACCGAACATAAGAGAGGTGCGAGTAGAGAAGGAGTGGAGAGAATGAGAGAGAAATGAATGAATCAATGGTTCCCCTCCACCTTCCGTCTCCCCCCTTTTATAAGGGTGGTGGGTGGGGAGGTTTTTGTTATTCCCCCTAGTGAGTCTTGCATTTACAAAAGAGTCTCGCTACAAATGACTGAATGAGCCCTAAACATTATCTCACAAGCCTCTGGAGATTGGACTTGTGTGCTGAGGTCCGGCCTCTCCTTAAACTTGTGTGTTGAGGGCCGGAGAAAGGATGCAGAAGAGACAGAGGGGGAGCTTGTGTGCTGAGGGACGGAGAAAGGATGCAGAAGAGACGGAGAAGGAGCTAAAGCAGCTATGGAGAGAGCCACATGAAAGAAGAAAAGAACGTCCAGGGAGGGAGACTGACCAGAGGACATGTGTTGAGAATGGAGGATTTAACTCTATTGAATAATGATTTCATGTCTAAAAAAAGTACATATCAGAGGGTATTTATAGAGGATGGAACCTTCGTTAATCCTAATACAATCTCTATAATACCCCTAAAGCGATAGCTTCGAACGATTAGAGCTTTCATTACATTCAAGGGCAATTTGGTCATTACATTGCCGATACCGCGGTTCTGCTTCTTCTATCAAGCTTCGCAAGACGAGTCTTCGGGATGAGTCTTCGTGAGCTCAAGACAAGTTGACTTCGTTCCATTCGCCCTTGACTTCACTTCATCGTGAAGTGGGCCGATCGCCTTCGACATTCCATCTTCAGCACGAGGCGAACTGATCACCTTTGAACCTTCACCTTCGGCTTCATTCCTTTGTACTTGTCTTCGCCGTTCAAGCTTTGCCGAATTCTTGCGAAACCATGTAGTTTTTTTTCAGTCTACTTTATTCATGTTTGTTTCTTCATTTTGCATTTCTTTGCTCCAAATAGTCTTGCACAGACATCTCGCATCCAGCGATTCCATTCCACTCTGCATTCCTCTAGTGACTTCATTCCTCTGTTTTGCATTCCTTTGTTCCAAAACAGTCATGCAAGCATCTGCTCCAAAAAAGAAAGAACGGAGCGCTTCCCAACTACTGCCGCCGCCGTCGCCCTTGTCTAGGCCACCGCTCGGTCCCCCTCCTATCTTCTAACCGGCGATCTTGTCGGTGGATAGAGGAGCGGGGACCTGATCCCTTTCTCCTTTGTAGTTCTTGGTTAGGTTTGTGGATCGTTGTTGATCTAGGTTTTGGTTTCTGGTGTCATTGTCGAGGTGGTGGCGACGATGATACTTTGAAATAATGTATTTCCGGTCTCTCCCTACCTCGACGATGTTCGATCTGGTGCCGACGAAGGGTTAGTGAGAGTTTGGTCTGTCAGATCTGTTGTTCTTCTTAGATCTTGGCTTTTGGTGTGCTTATTAGAGGAATCAATTGGTTGGCTTTTGATGCAGCGATCTTGAACTATTCTTTTGGTATGTTCTACAGCAAAGTCCGGCATCTTCAACACGTTGTTCTGAGGGTGGAGGATTGTAAGCCTATGTCCTTTGGAGGTTTCCTCCAGCCGATATTCTTTCATTGGGTACTAGATCTTGTTGCCAGTGACGAGTGGCTTTTTCGATATTCAAAGCTTTTTTGGCGAATCTTCAAACTCCAGCAAGTAGTGGACGTTCGAAGAAAGGAGACGACCAATTTGGTATTCGATGTACTCTTATTTTTTAGATGTCATTTTATGTCTTATTGTCTATCTTTTGTAGAAGCCTTTGTTTTTCTTGAGATATATCAGATGTGACACTCAATTGAGTGTCTTTATAAAAAAAAAAGTCGAGCACTGACATTCCCGCATCCAGGAACTGACAGAGCATTTGTTGTACAAGACCAAGTTTGTTGCTGGATTATGGACGATGATCATGTGTCGGAGGCATTGAGAAGGCAGTAGTTGGTGTTGACACGAGTATATAACATAGAACGTCCGCCGAACTGCCTGAATATGGAGGAGCTAATAATGAAGGCACAACATTATATTCCTGTCTATCATAGTGGACATTATCAAGGTCCACGTAATGATGAGCTTGACTCACATCAGGAGCTCCGACGAACAAAACGCAACCACAAATGCTAACTTTAAGAACACGCTAGGAAACACACACATGAGCATGGTTGCTCACCCATTACAGTTTGCATCACATGATCACATCATGAGAGCGTGGTGGATTTAAACGCGAGCTCCCCCATGTCAGCATCGAAATGTGCCTCCACATGCATCACCGAATTCGCTGGATTCACTTGTACAGGTTTGCTAAGCAGCTGCACTCCTTGCTTCCAGTATCTGCTCTCTGAGCTCAACATCCACACGTTAATAGCAGGTGGCCATCAGATTCTATTTGCAAATCCCAGGCTATATAGTATATTCATTTTAAACGGCACCACATGGATGTGCATCATCCTTACCTGGTCCGGTGCTTATCACAATGGAATTTTCCTCGTCAAGTACCCAGTCGATCCAAACAGCAAAACCATGGCATGTTCCATTTTGGCCAAACTCAATCTGCAAGATGGTATGTATAAAGGGGTTAGGGTTAGGGACCCTGGGGCGGCGGGCATCCAAGAGTATAGTTATCTAGTAATACGAGGAAAAGACAGAATAGCTTCCATGCTGGTTGAACATGTGAAGAATATCATTCCTGTATCAAATTTGCGCATGGCCACTATTCTACTAATCATACTGCTTTGAGGTTTGGTATCATTACGATTTGCTGAATATATATCAGTCCTAGTTTCATTGGTAACCCTGCAACCTTTCACATAAAAAAAATACAGCAGAATTGCACCAAAAAGACATCGAGCAGACTGTCAGCATTAGGGTCTGAACAACTGAAATCCCCTACACTCTCAATTTTCACAAAATTTATCAATTCCGTCATAATCACCCAGGCTAGTACTCAATATCTTGCATATTTGAAGTGACTAGCACAGCCAGAAATGTCAACCGTGATATACTTTGTCCAGAAAAATTAAAATGATACCTTTGTTTCACCAAAACAAGAGTGAATAGGCTCAGAAAAGTTGAAGTCCATGAGAGAGTACACTTCACTTAATTTCTGTAGAAAAGAATGACAGATTATCAGTTGCATTTTAGTGAAACAAATATTTGTCACGTGTTTAGAATGTGGCAGTGATTTTACCTTGGTATAACCGCATTGCCACACATAATAAGGTAGGCAAGGGCCTTGCTGATCTCCAGGCAGGTCACCACAGGCTCCTAAAGTATCATTAACAACTGAGTGGTCAAAACCCTCAACATCTTTAAGGCCACGACGGCTTCTCCACAAGTCCTGCAATATCATAATTCTCAGGACAGAGAGAAGAATTTTATGCCCAAGCGAAGACAATAGAGCCAATAGAAACGGAAAGGTAGATATATGATAGGCTAACCGGAAGTGACATGGCACAGAATCTTAATATTCCCTTACAAGGCATGATGAATGCATCCTCAGATAGCAATGGATCAAGCAGTGTCCTTTCATTCCTAGTGTCAGAACAACGTGTTTTTTAAACTAAAAACAATAAAAAAAGCAATGAAAAACACAAAAGGAGTTTCATATAGGATAAATAAGCTTCAGGTTGCCCTTTGACTTGAAGGGGAAATTCTATATTAGTAAAATGAATTGTTAAGAAATTTCATCAATGTGGACAAGTGAAAACCCTACAAACTAGGTGTAACACCCTAACTTCACATCCAGCCCGTACAGAGTCTCAAACTTTTTCTCTTGATTCTCCTAAACCGGTTAACCCGGCTGGTATGGATGGGTCTCCATGGTTTGTATATGCAACTATAACTAACCATGTGGGACTCAGACCACTACTTCCAGCCAAACATGGACCAACTTGGACTAGAGTGTTACACTGGGTGACTCCTATAGCAAATAACTGGAAGGAAAATAGGAAAATAAAAAAGTGGTAGCCAATAGTTATGGCACAAAGTTTGATTCAATGGGTAATGATTAATATGAGTTAAAATATCTTATACGAACCAGAAAGCGCAGATTTTGCCATGGCAGCATCCCTTCACTTCCATGATAAAAAGGCTCCCCCACTATCAGATTAACCTAGAGTGATAAAGGATCAAGGATCATTCATGATTCATAAACACTATAGTATGGATTTGGGAATTAAATGATGATGAAAAATATCGGACTTCAACAGTCTTTACCTTTTCATGATTTAAGTCATTCATAGTAAGGGATGATGCCTTTTTACCAATCACTTTAATCCGGTCCATGGATAAATTATTTGCATCTGCAACAGCTTGAAGATAGTTGAAGCCCCTGTCTCTAAGACTTGGAAACATTGTAAAAACTTTTGAAGACGGTAACAGAGAAGAAACTATGAGAGCTAGGAACACGCTATCATCAGCCACAATGCAGGTCGGAGAGGATCTTTCACTCATCTGGGCAGAGAAAAGTTAAACACGAAAAAGTTAAGGTGGGGAGAAGCACAGGATAGAACAGCTACAAATAGTGTCAGATCACAGAGTTGACCAATATGATTCTGTATTCTTAAAAATGAGGAAACTGTATCACAGATTGAAAGGTTGCACAGGCTTTTGAATATTGGGATACTTATTAAAATTCTTCAGAAGTTACAGTGAGCAAACATAGTATGAATGTATGATGCACAAGCTCATGGAATACTAGTTGGATAAGAACATATTATACCAAGTAAATCGTGGGATTACTTACAGAATTCCTGATTACACTTATCAACGCTGATCTCCAACCTTTATCACCATAAAGTGCTACCTTTTCTGGAAACAATGTTAGATGGTTACTTTTGGGGCTTCTACTTCCTTCACCATTCATATTCAACTGATATGAGATGCTAGTTTGGTTATGGCTAGCGCTCAAAGAAAGAGCTTGATCTTTCTTTGCAGGAGCCCCTGTCCCTTGTATAAACCAAACACACTGCTTCCAATGATCACACCAATCCTTTGTGCCTAGCAAAGGAAATAAGGGAACAAATGGTGTAAATAAGCTTAAAATATTCCAAGCACCCTGCCCTAATATTATTACCCTTCTAGAAGGCTATTCTATTCCAGTTTCTAGGTAGAGAAATGAACTAGGTGGTCTTGAAAGCTTCACATGGATAAACTGCCACTTCCACAGTCTACTTCAAAATAGATTTCTACACATTAAAATATAGAAATAGCATTCAAACTCTTAAAACAATACATCATGCACCAAAAGATAATATGCCAAAATCAATTATTCCTCCCGCAAGATGCTAGGTTGCATCAATACAGTTTGCAATGTGAGAATCACCGCCATGCAGGCAGAGTAACATTGTGCTTTTTCCTTAAAATACAGCATATGATGTACTGCATTTCAGCACTGTGTTGTTGTGCCAATAAAAGTTTCTACTTATAAGTAACAATAGACTACTAGTTCTGCATGCATGGTATAAGAACTAATCCAGGGGAATTCCTTAAATGAATGGAGAAGAAGAAATAGTGCACAAGGTGAGAATCACAATAGTTTTTCGAACCATTGGCATATTGTGGTAAATCCACACCGCTGGATTGTCTCACCCATCTAGGAGCAGTTGAGTAAAAGACTGACCCAGCAGAATCCAGTTGAAGCACCCACCTGCAATCAAAAACAAGCAAATTCAGAGAAATTTTAGGAGAGTAGAGAGACAACAGGACCTTGTGGTTACCATGAAACAATAGCATGAGCATGCCCATCAGCAGTTGCTTTTATCTCAATCTTTGTTTCACGATGACTATCTGGCCGTTTCGAAAAGTCAAATTCAAAAACTTGGAAGGGTTCTGACAGCTAAAGCAAAGAAATTAGAACTTGGAGCAATATTAGATAAAACAGCATGCGAAGAAAAACTCCGTACCAATCTTATTTCATCTGCCAGCGCATCACATTGCATCGCATGTTGTTGTGACTTCACAGAAAGAACATTCTGTGTATCACTAGGAGTAAGCCACACACCATCTTCAGCAATTGCTTCATTGCTGTGCAGATCATGCATCTTCCACAAGGATGTGCTCTCAACTAACTAGAACACCAACAGGTTGAGGTTTATTTAACATGAAATATTACCGGGAAGAACTTATATGGTATTCTAAAAAAATGCAGTAGGCAGCACTAACCACTCCATACGTAGTAGCTCGATATGGAACCGTCTTTGGATTTTTCACCAATAACATGTCATGCGCATGCTGTAGAGAAGGTATGAGACCCTCACCCAACAGCTCAGAATCAAGAATTTCACTTACCTGCACAGTGCCAAATGACTTGGTATCGCTAAGTGCAAGAACGATTACGAAATGTTGTGTACTATATGTTGCTGTTTAATGAGAATTGAGATCTATTGCTTGGGGGTAACAGAGGGGCTGATATTCAAATCTTTAGCATGCACAAGTGGACAGTTGAAGAAGCATCATAGGGTACATACTTGCCACAGCAATACTATGGCTCAATTCAGAGGCAAATTGCGTTTTGCTATAAGAGCTGGGGGCTTTTCGATACAACAGAATACTATGACAGTGGAGCCAAGATACAAGATAGAGAGGTTACCAGTAAATCAGCTCGAGAATCAAGCTCGACCTCAACTCTGAGCTCATCTGAACGCTTGTGAAATACTTTGACCTTATTTTCCATCCCATTGGCTCTGAGTACCCTACGTGTTAGTTTGCCCATTGGAAGGTAGGACTCACATGCTGACACGCTTCCCCTACCTTCACCTCCAGCAGCTGCCAAAGCTCGCGCAGCCATCATGGACAGCAACCCCGTCCCAGCTCTAGATTCCATACCATACCATACCATACCATACCTGAGCATCAGCATACTTGGGAGCCAAAGCCAATCCAACATTTGGTGGTGGCGGCTGAAACTGGAAGAGAACGGAGGCTCTACGGCTCACCCGATGTCGAGGACGCAGGCGGTGGGGTCCGTGACCGTGGCGTCGATGGCAAGGCGGTACGCGCGGTTGCGGGAGGCATCGTTGAGCATGTCGAGGTAGGAGGTGGCGGCGAGGAGCTGCTTGTGGTGGGTCGGCGCAGGCGCCTCCGCTTCCGCCTCGTCGACAACGAGCCACTCGGAGTCGCCGGTGAGCGGGTTGACGCGGAGCTGGAAAGCGCGGGTCGGCCCGGAGGAGGCCATTCTGCAGCGGCGGCGGAGGAGGAGGAGGCGGAGAGCGGCCGGCGGTGGGCGTAGCGCGATGCCGGGGAGGAGGCAGCTCGGCATCGGCGGCGGCGGATGCCTCTCGTGGCGGCCTCAGTGACACGTGGCAGATCGAGGCCGTTCGTTTTCGAACGGACGTGGATGATGCTCCGGAGTATATGGGCCCGGGCGGTCCAGCGAGAGCCTAACGAAGCCCGGCTCCGATGGGCTCAGCCCATTCACGGCTGCCTGCGCCAGGCCCAGCAACTAACTGCCCTGTCGCTGAGTCGATCTCCCTCTCCTTATTCCTTTGCACATTTCTCGAATCGAGGAATCAATTTGGCCTGTTTGGCTCCTCCGATCCCGATCGCCGGTGGCCATGGCGCGCGCCTCCCTATCCCTATCCCTATCCCTGCTGCTCCTCCTCCACTCCTTCCCCTCTTCCTGTTACTGGTAATCGATCCGCTCCTGTCCTGCTTATGGATGGCAACGGGGATGTACCCGTCGGGTATCACCGGAACGTTCTCTTCCTAGCTACGGAGAATTCATCCCGTCCTTGTCAACTGTCTCGGATATAGATTCTTGCACACCCCCGTACCCGTCGATGATTGGTCGGGTAACAGATACCCGACAGATACTGCATACCCGATAAACAAGGATACTTGGGGTCGCAGCTTTGCAATCGGAGATGTTTCTTCTTCATCCGAGTATAAGTGTCGGAGTCTCGGAGATGCCGAGGAGAAAGAGTGAGGTTGCGAGGAGGACGAGCAAAGGTGGCAGAGAGACCGAATTGAGGAAGCGAGGGGCACGAGCGCTCGTGAGGCAGGCGTGCTTGTGTTGCTGGCGGATATGGTGAGGAAAAATTGAACTAGGGTTCCTAGAACACACAAACTATATATATGATTGTTCAGATTTGGGCCAAAATACCTATGTTGAGCTTTTTTGGACCTAATACTCACATGACAGCTTAAATAGTCGGGTTCCCCAACGGGTAACGGGGACGGGTAAACAGAGAATGTTTCCGTACCCGCTATACCCGTCGGAGATGGATTCTTGCCCATTTAGATGCCCGCGGGTAAAGATATGATCACATCTCCGTCTCCTAATGTATCAAATACCCATTGGGTATCGCGTATCGAGGCCGTTGCCATCTTTAGTCCTGCTTCGACATTAATGATCGTTGCGCCAACCTCGTGCTCGTAGTAGCGTATAACCTCGTATCGTGCATTCTGGAATGCAGCGCTCGGCGGCATGCGTTTGGTGATATCCTACTATTACTGTGATTCAGCCTGTTCGTTTGGCAGTGGCTTGTCGTAAACGATCGTAAATTTTCAGTCGGAACAGTATTTTCCTCTCACATAAAACAGCCAGCAGTACTTCTTCACAAAGCAGCAACGATACGAACTGGCCAACCGAACAGGCTAATTATTTGCAGTATGGGATCATTAATGCAGCAACGATGAATATGCGTATGCAGTCTGATAAGTAGTAGGTTGCACTGAACAATGTTTTAGTTTGCACAAAGCAGCCGCAAACTAGGAGGAGACGCCGCGACTTTTCCCGAGGACGAAGACGATCATGGGCGAGCCGAGCTGCGACTCGTGCACTGGCGTCCACTCGCCGCCGCCCTGCTCACAGAAGAAGGCCGTGTTGCCGCGGGCCACCATGACCACGACGCCGCGCGGGGGCCAGTCCCACGCGAGCCCGTCGTTGGTGACGCTGACTTGCGCGCAGCGCGGGCGTGGCTCGTCGGGGTGGCAGTCCACCGGCTCCTTCTCCCACAAGGGGATAGGCAGGTCCGGCAGCGGCGCACGCGACCCGGTGAAGGGGTCGGCGAGGTGGCACGGGTGCCTGTCGCACATGTCCGTGGCCAACAAAGTTTCCGTGTTGGGCAAACTTTTTTCTGTAATGCTGCGTACAAGGAGTCCGTCCGGACGATGTCAACGGTGGGCCACGACGCAGCCAACGACCACTTATCCACTCACCCTCGTGCCCCCAATCGTTTAAAAAAAACTTCTAATCCCTTCCGCACCCTCCTCCACTCCACCCGTCCCGTCTCGAACACGGATGTCACTCTGCCTTACTAGTGTGCCGCACGTCCCATCCGACGCTGATCGCTCGCCCCCATCGCGAGCACTTCTCGCCCCCTCCCGTCGCGCGCGCTGGTGCTGGTGGTGATCGCTCCGCTCGTCGCACGCGCCGCCCCGCCGAGCCAAGACCAGTGCTGGTGGCATGGTGGCGGTGGCGCGCTAGCGCGCTGCTAGTGCTGGTGCGCTCGCCCGGCCGAGCCAAGCCCGCTGGTGGTGGTGGTGGTGCTTGCGCACCAACGCTTGCGGCTGGAATCGACCTGTCTCGGCCTTCTCCTCCCCTATGTTGCATATACATGTTTCAATTGTTTCAGGTGTATGTTGTAATTATTTTATTTTGATGTTGCAAAAGTAGATCGTGGGATGTTGCATATGTTGCAAGTGTTTTAGATGCATGTTGCAAGCATTTGTTCATAAATGTTTTATCTATTTCTAGACGTATGTTCCAATTGTTTTTATCTGGATGTTGCATATGTTCTACACATATGTTTCAACGGCATGTTCCAAAATATTTCAGTTGTTTCAGTCTTATGTTGCAGCAAGTGGTTTCATGTGTTCCACACACATGTTGTAAGTGCATGTTCCAAGTGTTTTATTTGTTTTCAGACGTATGTTGCATCCAAATTTTTTTATGTTGCAGTGTTTTATGTTGTTCGGTCGGGGGCGAGCCGGGGGGCAGGAGGACGGTGTGCGCGGCGCGCTGGGGGGTTGTAGACGAGGGCGCTGGGGGCGAGCGGGTGGGTGCTCCGTCAGGCGCGTGCGGGGTCCCGGCTCTCAAGTGCCGCCCACGCGAAGAGAGAGGAGTGGGTCTGGGGAATGATCGGTGGGCGCAGATACGGGACGGAGTGCGCGCATGGGGCAGGGTGAATCCGGACGAGGGTGGGGCAATGGCGAACTGGGGCGGGCTGCGCCCAACCAGCAGCAGAACCAGGTGGAGGAGGTGGTGAGATACGTCTCCATGGAGGAGCAGGTCATGACCGAGCTGGTGGAGAAGAGCAAGAAGAAGAAGGAGCTGGTGACACAGGAGATCAACCAGGCTGAAATGGGACCCTATTTGTCTTATGAGGTCTGGAGCTACGTGATGTCCATCGGCGTGTTCACGTTTAAGGACTGCACCATCAATGAAATCGAGATGATCTGCGACCCCTCCACAGAAGACATAAGGTTTGCTTCTCGTAGGAGGCGCATCGAAAACCAGGCGAACCTGCTCCGGCAATACCGCACCAATGGACACGTGGTCCTCCAGTACGAAGTCACCGACGACGAGAGGGATGTGGAGGTGTAGAATCTGTGTTCATTTGCTAGAAGCTGTGTTAGGGAGTTGATGCTATCTTCATTCATGGGTGACCTTTGTCGGATGCCTAAGTTGTAGTATCTTGTCTGCGATGCAGCTATCCTAAGATCAACTCATTATTATATATCATGTAATCATGCATCCTGGTGTGTTATATTGTCATGATCTATTGCTACTGGTTACTCAAATGTATCAAGTACAAGCCACTAATATCTGCTTTAGATATCTATATTATCGTCGTAACATGTACATTTTGTGTCTGCTTTTTTCTATGCATTCAGTGTTTGATGGCACTGAAAGGCTGAGATGTTTTATGCTATGGTCAACTGAAGATTGCTATATAACGGATAGTTGCTCCAGACAGGCATGCATTTGATTTACTTGTTTTGCTACCATACCACACCTTGTGCCGCTGCTTGCAGTTAAATTAAATATAGTGAGATTCATTAAGAGTTAGTAAATGTTGCATTTGATGGGGTCTGTTATGGTGTGGAGCCTTTGTTTTGTCATAGCATTCTGTACATGTGGTCGTGCCATAGCTTATCTTTCTGTTTCCTGTTTTCTTTTTTTTTTTGGCATGATCCTGCATGAGCACAAGGCTTCAGAAGATCACCCGCTGGCACAACATAGACAAGTGCCGTGACAGAGGTCAGTGATCACACTCCCACTCCACCTCTTAGGCAGCAGATTTCAGGTGACTAGCCCCCCCTTAAGTTAGGCGCTGCACCATCTTTTTTATCGGGCCCTAAGATTGCCTCCTCTGATCAGCTCATGGACAGTGGGCATGTCTTTCTGAACCAAAAAATGCATGATCATTGACCATGTTGAAGTGTTCTTAATTAATACAATGATAGTGTCATACAATATATCTGTTGGAGCCTTTTGGAACATTTTCTATCAATTTGCACTTGTCTCATCATGCTGCTTATAGCATTGTGTGAGTTTGCAAATTGCACTACATTTAAACACTTTTGTTGCCTGCTTACACTGCTGAAGATCAAGTGATGAGCAATTAACTGCTCCAACGATATGATTGGAGTTATTCCCCTATGATTCCCAAGTATTTAAGTCTCTGATGATCCCATCTTTGTCCTTGTGCGTCATATTCGGAGAAGCATTATACTAAACAATGATTGTCATTGTTTCTCTTTGAAAATCTCAACATTTTGTAATTGAGCCTCATAGCACTACTTGTCCTACTCCTACATCCATGTTGCTATATTTCTTGGGGATACATAGCTGGGTTTTTCTTGCCTGTTTCCATGGTCAGATGATGAGTATTAAACTGCAATAATATGATTTGATATTATTCTCCTGTGATTGAATTTAAGTCTCAGATAACCCCTCCACGACATCCAGAAAGCTTTCGACATGGTCAGCTGGAGCTACTTGCTTGAGGTGCTGCAAGCTCTCGGGTTTGGGTCTCGCTGGCTCGAGTGGGTCTCCATCTTATTCCGCACAGCAGCCTCTAGAGCCTTGCTAAATGGCGTGCCTAGAGGAAAATTCTGCCATGCCAGAGGGGTGCGACAGGGTGATCCGCTATCACCTATGCTCTTCATCTTAGCCATGGACCCATTGCAGCGATTGTTGGACCTTGCTACCAGCACAACGTCCTCACGCAGTTGCCTCTTGTTGCGGCAAAGTGGAGAACGTCCATGTATGCTGATGATGCTGCAATCTTCATAAACCCAAAAAAAGAGGAC